AGTCAGGTGCAAACTGACCAGCAAAAATATCTGCAATCATTGTCTTTTCAATAGGAGGCATTGGTAAAACTCTAGATGAAGGAGAGTAATTCTGTGTGCATGCAAACATAATTGGCCCATCAAAAGAAAAATAGTGGAAAAATATTACCAAAGAAAAAAACATCTCTACAGGCTGGCACACATCAGTGCAGTGTGATGATGCAGGATATCTTTATACAATCAAATAAACAAAAAACTAATCTTAAATATAAGGGCATGTACTGTAGATATATAAAAAAAAAAGGAGTCTGCAAAGAGACTTGGGGCTGAGGGGTTTTAGGGCAGATTGCAACTATGACTTTTTTATTCATTAATTTAATAATTTAATGTTTTGAGCAATTTATTTTATTCTAATTTTGTGTCTAGAAGTTTGAGATAAACTACAATAGTGCCCTGTGAATATTTATAATCTTCAATAATACCTTAATCCCAATGGCTATGAACCTCATCTTTTTTGTATGGCTGTTTTAATGGGCAGAATCAAACTGGTTTGCATGTCTAAACATTTGAGTTCTAAAACTCTAAAATGGGCATTTTAGTGCTGCTTAAATTAGTGGATAAAAAAAATACACTATCAAGAGTTTTTAGTTTATCTTTTAAATACAGTTTTGAAAAGTGATGCAAGGGTATCATTGTATGAATTTAGCCAAGGCGAGTCAATATCTGCTGTATCACAGCTTTGCTGTACTTCTAGTGCAAATTTTATAGGTTACATCTTTGATAGCTTTTGACATTCTTTAACATACTTTTCCAAAAATATATATATATATAAAAAAAGCTGAATCAAATTGGATGCATAGCATCCAAATATCAATTTTCACATCATGCCACTGATTCTCACTTGGGTATAAATGTTGACTTAACGATGTATTTACACCAGAAAAGTTCTTTTTCGACTTGTTTGGCTCAGATCAAGAGCAAACTATGAAATTCCTACATGCAACACCTCTGTTTTGCATGTTTACGTTGTTATTACAGTTGTAAAAACATTGCATATGTCAATAGCAGCTTGTTCAATGTAGATATGAGATTTTGTCTTTAATTTTGCGACAGAGTCAGAGAATGTGTCCAACAAGCCTGTAGGCAGCAGCTTTGCTGAGCAACAGAAAGTAAAACAGCATTATTTAGTTCAGAGAAGCAGGATTGTTTTTAGATATGTAGCGAACTGTGCCAGAGTCTATTCTGAAATGAACTGAGACCACATCAAAAAGTGGGTCTTGGTCTGGTTATTTGGTACAGACCAGGGTTCGTTGATCTTTATACGTCTACATAAAAGCTCAGGGCCAGAAAAAAACTTTGTTTGGTCCTTTAAAGTGGACCACATGTGGAATTTGTGAGTTCAACATACCGCCTTGGAGCTACAGGCTTCACACTACTGTTCCAAAATATAGAAAGCTGACAAAAATCAGATACAGTTTTCAAGGTACTGACAAAAAAATAGATAATTAGAACAGAACAACAGACTTCTCCATGCTGATTCAACATAAAAGCTTTATCTCTGAAAACGTATCCAAGCGTGAGCAGCTCCCAATTATACAACAAACAATTTGCTTCTCATTTCCCATCTCCTAAGCAAAGGGGACCGGTTGAAAATGATGGACACGAGCAATTTCTTTAACATGGCAAACATGCAAATCACTTTCAGTGTGTCTCCCTTGGCACTCCCCCTCCCCATGGTACACTAGATTGCAGCCCTCCCATTCTAATTGTTCTCAAACATCACGCGAGCACAGCGAGTTAATTGCAAACGAGAGACGCTGATCTCCCATGATAGAGGGCTCTGCATAAATGAGTATTCCCAATCTGACTATCCACATCAAATCTGCCAGTGTCAAAAAAAATAAATAAATAAAAAATATATACTTTGGTCGATTTGGTCAAGCTAAAAAAATTATCTGAAGGGCCTTTGGAGGCACTTGAAGAGGAACACTTATTTACGTTAATTAATACAAATAATTGTGTTTTGTACTGTTGGAAAGGACACCTAAGGTAAAAATAGAGAGAAAGCCAGTAGAACTATACAGTAGCAGCCATTCAAAATGGCCCTTCCCAGCCGAATGGCAGCCGAATGGCAGCCGAATGGCAGCCGAATGGCAGCCGAATGGCAGCCGAATGGCAGCCCACTTCCCTCAAACTCCCAGAGAAATCTCCTCAAACTTCCAGCCACTGGAGTGCCCCCCTCTTGCATATTTTTTTACTCTGACTCCACCCTTTTTCACTGAATTACAGGGTCTGAACAGGAGATGATGCTTCTTTTTAGATCTTAATCTTCACAAATCATGACAGAAAGAATATTTTAGTAAAAAAGATTGATGTTTAAAAAGGAATTAAAGGGGACCAGCCAAGGACCCATCAAGAAAAGTGGGGTCATTTTGAATGGCTACTACTGTATAAGCCAGTAATAAAAAAATATTTGAGGAATAATTAAAATATATGCTGACAAAGAAAAAGGCTAATGATTATTATCACCATAACATATAGTAAGATGTAATAATGTATGACATTTTGTTGAAAAACTCAGGGCATTTATATAAAAATTTTGAGGCTCTTTCCTGCCTGTCTAACTAATGGCTATATGTAGGAATTATCCAAATAACTGTGCGCTCTTTTGTTATTCATTGTGAACATGATGTTTCATGAAAACGGAGATGAAACTTATTAGATACTATTCTTATGCTTCCCAAATATATATTTATTATTGAATACGGAATAAAAGAAAACACTGAAATTGTTGATTATTTTCTTGAATTTTATGTGATAAAGCATGGACAAGTTTGGATAAGCCTGACATGAGCAGTAATAGAGTCTTAACCTGCATGTCTGCCTACGTGCAATTCCAAAAGTCCATGAATGGATCTGTTTGTATAAAAATAGTAACTTAACTTAAACTTTTGAGTTACTCTTTTAAAGAGCAATTAAAACAACCTCAGTAAATTATTGATCTTCCTCACAAAGTCTCTACCAAGTAAGACAGTGATAGTAAGAGAGAATGAAAAAGAAAATGAAAGGTGTTTGTCATGTCAGTGCATGTTCCTCCCCATGGAGCCATCATTAATTAAGCGTGAGATTGGTCTCTCCACTTCACACCCCTGCCTCTCGTCCTGTTGAGCCAGGGATGTCAGGGGACACGTCGCTTCTCACCTCAGAGAGCGAAACAGGTAGTGTCAGTTCAGTGGACCTAAAATAGACATCTGTTAACACACCCAAATGCATGCACACACACACACACATATTTTAGTCCACTCAGACACCCCCATTTTAGAAGCAGCTGCTTTTGTGCTCGAGTCCAACACCGCATCAGGCGCCTATAGCTCTTTTTCAGCGCAGCAGTACATCACTAATGATAGCTCAACTCCCTAAACTCCCCTATACTACCCAGAGGGGTGGGGAAATCTGCCAAACGGGTACAGGTCCTCTCCTTCCCGCTCGTACCACAGTGTCTGACAGCCAGCAAGGGAACTGTAAAATTAAAGGCCTCTGCAAATGAAATGCTGACACGACAACATGAATCAAAGGCAAGCCAGTCACGTGACCCTGTGAGAGAAGAATGACCAAGGCATGTTCTCAAAAGGAATACAAACACAAAACAGAAGGTTACAGAGGGAAGGGAACAACATTGTTATTAAGTTACTGAGGCGCCCTATTCAGGGTGTAATGGTGGCATTATGGATATTGACAGGAGTGATATTTGTTCATCTTTTCACCTTGAAAATTCAAGTGCGTTGTCAAAAAGATCTCCGAGCTGAAGAACTTTATTGACTTCTTTTGATATTAATATTCGCCTGAGACGACAAGTCTTTTCTTTATGATGTGACCTTGTTGTTACTGCCAGAGACGATAATGTATCTCGGCTAAGTCATTATAGCTGACTCATAAAGGAAATAGAAATGGATTGCTTTGTTTCTGTTGCACGTCTTCCATCTTCAGATCACCTCACCCTAGAATCTTCCACCCTCACTCCCATACAGAGGTAGAAGGGTCAAGCACCGACATTAAGGGTCATCATGACTACGCAGCAGACAATCTAATACCGAGGTGTAGAAGAAGACCAAAACCAAACCCTTCCTCTACAACCAGCACGCCTCACTCATGAGGGAGAGTTATTGCTTTAATATAGACAATGAAGGGTTCAATTTGTGCTCTGGGTGTCAAAGGACTGCTGGGCGTGATTGCTTTCTTGGCACAGTTGTGACACTCATTGGCTCGGACTCAGAACGTATTGGAGAAAGCCCTCACTCGGTACGGAAATGTGTTGCATGACAGATAGTGGTGGAGGAAAAGGGTGATTGGTGGAGGAAAGGAGAAAAGGCACGGCTCGTCGAACAGCAGCACTTCGATCCTTGGCAGAATGAGAAATACAGTGTCCTGACCTTGGCTGATCAAGCAGAGAAAGAAGGGAGGGCAGACGTAATCCAAACCACGGTCAGTTCCAAAAAAACACATTAAATAGTAAAGAGAGGGAAACAGTTCTTGTGCTTACACTTTGGGGCACCTTTAAACCTTATTACAGAGAAAACAGAACCTTTATCTGTTTAAAATGTGGCTTCTTTCACTAAGAGGAAAGGCTTCTCTATTTGGAGAGGATCATATATAAAAGAAAAACAATGCCTACCACACATTTGGAATATAGCTAAATAGAAAAGGTAAAGGCAGTACAATTTTTTTTTTAGGTGGGTAGTCTTGTATGAACAGCAAATAATGAAAACACAATGTTTTCTAGTCTGAAACTAGTCTGAATTCAAGACCTGGATGGTCCACACCTGATTCAGAAAACATATTATAAAAAAATTCTTGAGTAAAATCCAAATACCTGCTGTTGCTGCACAGACATGAGATGAATATTCAGACATTTGGTTTTGAATAAGGAGCTTGCAAACTTTTTATATGGTTCTATTCTACATGAAAGAAAGAGCAGCTTCCACATAAACACAAACAAATTTGGAGGTTCCAATGTGTTATACCTGAGTAGATGGTGGCGAGCGCTGTTTGCGGGTGGTTGTGGTGGACAGTGTGGTGGTGGTCTCAATAAAGGTGGTGGACATCTCTGGTGGCATCGAAGTGGTGGTGCGGGCCGCACCACGGCTGGTGGGCACGTCTCCAACAAGCCGCACGCTGCCGTTGACTTTAATATTAGGGTGGCCTTCGGCGGCCATGTTGAGAACCTTGAGACCATTGTAATAGAGGCCTGAGAGCTGGCCTTGGTAGGGTCGCTTCCGGTCATTTCCCCCGATAGATATAGTGGCCTGCGTGTTGAAGATCGTGAGCTGGCGACCTGAGAGAGGAAGGGAAAAAAAGCGTAAGGATGGAAACACTGAAGCTATCCAATGCAAGAGATATGGGTGCCTGTCTTTTCACCCCTTCACCAAAATGTACATTTTTAGATTACAGAAGTTTTTGATACAAAATGCAACTGCTAACAGGATGGTTTGTATTAATCAATTTCAAGCTTCAATTTAATAAAGTGTAAATATTTATGCTGTCTTTAGCAATAATCAACAGGAACCAGCAGGAGGTGATAGGTTTTCCTCATCATTGTCATATTCGAATTGAGGTAAATTGGCAAAATTAGGAAAGAGAACTAAGATCACAAAATGTTTCTAAATCATGTAAAACCTGAATATTTGTCTCTGTATTTTACAAAAATACTAACATACAAAAAGAATATTAAACAGCCATACAGCTGCTAGGCACTTGGATTACAAATAGTCCCTTTGGGGTTAAAAAAGGGGACTAAATAGCAACACTTTGGTACAAAATTGGCAATGGAGCAATTTGACCATGATCCCACAAAATTTGTTGCAGAGGTGAATAAAAAAAAGAAAATAAGTAACAGAAAGACCCTATTAATAACATACATTTACCTCCCCGCAGTAAGAGAAAAAGTTTGTTTTTCAAGAGCGATGTATTGTTTCAGTGCTCAGTTAAATTAGGTTCTAAATTTTTATAAATTACAGGTAGCAGAACTAAATAACCATCATCTTCCCACAATACTATAAAAAACACTTTAAATAGAGCATATGCAAATTCGAAAGTAATATCTAAAGAAAATGAGCTGGAAAGTGTTCTTATGTTCTGAACTGAACAGTGGACGCTGTGCAGGGAAATGATGAATAAACACATATACAAGCTTTCGCATATTCTAAAGACAATGCGAATGTTAATGTGCCGTGCGAGTTTGATTAGTCAACGTCTAAATATCACAGTCAAAACACTCTCATGCATTAATTATGAAACTGAAATGCTTAAAACTTCCACAAAACGAGTATCATAATTACATTTGTGCAGTTCACAGATTAGCCACACTGCAAGCTTGTTCCATTTTGTTTGCTATACAGCACAGAACACATTAGGTATGGAATGGCAGGGACGGGGCGTTCATATCACAGAAAATGAAATAGCACGTGTGGAGCCATGCATGCAGCAGTAATGGGATTTTTTTTTCAAAACCTGTCAGTGTTTTAGCGGTGGTTAAAGGGACTTTATGAAAAGGTTAAGACGTTTATGTGCAATGAATTTTAAAAAGGCAGTTTATAATGGTATTACGTAGAGTGAGAAGGTTGTACTGTGGGGCAGCGGGCTTCCTTAAATCCGCCCACACGTGAGTTAAAGACAGATGAGAGGCCGACTTTGATAATCTAAGCGATTAATAAGAACAGCTTTTTCAGGCGGCGGTGCACCTTGGCGCTCGCACCGTGACACTTGGCTGTCAAAAAGGCTCCAATTATCTCTCCATCATCAAAACAGGTTGGATTTCCATTTGGTGTGATAAGTACAAGAAGATAAATTGCAGTAGAGAGGAGCCCCTGCTGTTAGGGAAGTTTTCAGTCCACTGATTAGTTTGTTCTCAAAACACTGTCAGTGTTAAGCTTCCTCTCCACACAATCAGCCGACAGTTGCTGCATTTCTAATGCCTCCTCCAGTCAATTTAAACGTTTGATTCCAGTCATCATCCTGTCCCAGTCCCTTTAACTGGACACCATGGTTGAACAAGTTCAAAAAAAGGTGACAATGGCAAAAAAAGAGGGGGGGGTGGGGTATCACAGAAAAATATGGTTTATTTTACAGATTTTTAAGGGATTTAAGGGATGATTTTCTCATTCTCAGAGGTTGAAAGGGAGCAAGCCGATGAGATGACTGAAAGAAAATAAAATAAATAAAATAACATTCTGGAAGTTAAATAAAAGTTTACCTTTCTCCTGAAGCCAATCCTCTACTGGCCGGGTATATTTGAACGGGATTTTCTTATTTGCCATTTGATAGCGCTCAATGTCGCTGTTGCCTTTGGAGTTCGAGAGTTTAACAAACAGCTTGAAACAGTTGGCAACAGACAACAAACATTTATACAGTGGTTTATGATGAGGTTTAGCTGCGTTTAGAAGGATTTATAAAAGCTTTATGAGTTTTTTTTTTCAAAATTAGTTGAACCTTAAGCTTCACATTTGTTTAAAACACTCAATATTAAAGATTACACACAATATGCATAAAATAAAAGCAAAAAATCATCGACAAGAAAAACTAAACACAGCAAATACATAATAATTTACATGACATTCAATAAATGAAGTACTGAAGGAAAAAAACAGCTTCATTGGTTTTCTGTGCAGTTAAACTGAGTCAGCTACAGAATTATCTCTAATTCTCCTACTGGACACCATCTGCTTTTGCTATTTCAAGTGGGCAGCAAATGATTTTGTGTGACTATTTGAAGGGATGGAGCTTTGTGAGGAAAGGAGGGCAATGTTAAGGGAGCAAAGTTGTAATTCTAAGTATGGCAGACCCGTTGGGGGTGAGATCCCACAGCGGCAAAGATTTCAAGAGGACAATGCATACAAATGAGATCATTACGGACTTAGTGGGAGGCCTTTTGGGGTAAAGAGAAAAAAAAAGCACTACTACGTTCTCTTGAGAGCACAGCTAACATGGTGAAAGTGCTGTGCAAATGTATTTATAACCTTTATATTTTTTCCACATTTTTCACATTTCAACGACAAATATTTTATGGGATTTGGGATGAGGCACATAAACAGTCAATCAATAGAAGAGGACAAAGTTTTCAAGGGATTTTTCAAATAAACCCTGCAAAGGCTGGCTTGTCTTTGTTTCGTCTGACATCCCCGAAATCAATCTCAATATAATCAACTTATATGATGCCACCTATCAACCAACTGACCGGCCGACTGATCAATCAATCAATCAGTTAATCAACCAACCAATCAGGTTCCGTTGTCAACAACTGATCGACTGAAAATAGGAATTTTTTACTGAGGTGCAGTGCCTCTTGCCTGCAGGAACAGATGATTTCCTTTGAAAAAAAGATTTTGAAATCTTAAATGACTTTTAAATGACTGAAGCATTGAGCTATTCACACATAATCATTACCAAACATGGCTTATAGATCTTCCAACTGAATTAAACATCTAATCCTAATTCTGAATGTATACGGATTGAATGTCAATGTACACTCACCGGCCACTTTATTAGGTACCCCATGCTAGTAACGGGTTGGACCCCCTTTTGCCTTCAGAACTGCCTCAATTCTTCGTGGCATAGATTCAACAAGGTGCTGGAAGCATTCCTCAGGGAGTTTGGTCCATATTGACATGATGGCATCACACAGTTGCCGCAGATTTGTCGGCTGCACATCCATGATGCGAATCTCCCGTTCCACCACATCCCAAAGATGCTCTATTGGATTGAGATCTGGTGACTGTGGAGGCCATTTGAGTACAGTGAACTCATTGTCATGTTCAAGAAACCAGTCTGAGATGATTCCAGCTTTATGACATGGCGCATTATCCTGCTGAAAGTAGCCATCAGAAGTTGGGTACATTGTGGTCATAAAGGGATGGACATGGTCAGCAACAATACTCAGGTAGGCTGTGGCGTTGCAACGATGCTCAATTGGTACCAAGGGACCCAAAGAGTGCCAAGAAAATATTCCCTACACCATGACACCACAACCACAGAGATGCTCTTCTGCCCACCTTGGTTGTAACGGGTGGTTATTTGAGTCACTGTTGCCCTTCTATCAGCTGGAACCAGTCTGGCCATTCTCCTCTGACCTCTGGCATCAACAAGGCATTTCCGCCCACAGAACTGCCGCTCACTGGATGTTTTTTCTTTTTCGGACCATTCTCTGTAAACCCTAGAGATGGTTGTGCGTGAAAATCCCAGTAGATCAGCAGTTTCTGAAATACTCAGACCAGCCCTTCTGGCACCAACAATCATGCCACGTTCAAAGTCACTCAAATCACCTTTCTTCCCCATACTGATGCTCGGTTTGAACTGCAGGAGATTGTCTTGACCATGTCTACATGCCTAAATGCACTAATTTGCCGCCATGCGATTGGCTGCTTAGAAATTAAGTGTTAACGAGCAGTTGGACAGGTGTACCTAATTTGTTCTTCAGAACCTAAAAGAAGACTGGAAAAATGTAAAATACAGCGATCGACCTCATGAGCAGCTTGTTTGAGTTTGTATGCAAAGGTAACACCAATTAACTTCAATTTTCCATCATCATGACATTGTCGGTGTTGTGTTGTGTTGCAGTCTGTCTGTTTTATATATATTTACTTTATTAAGCAGTCATTTTACAGGCCTGGTTAAAAAAGGTGATCAAAAGATTCAGATTTTCAAAAGCTTACCTGTGCACTATATTCAGTAATTTCTTACCAGTAACTGCAGAATACAGTTAATAAAGCTTTTTCACCCACGGCTCATGTGATTCTGTGCCCCTTCTCATTTGTTTTTCTGGTTAAAAGCCAAGGGCTTTTAAGGCAATTTGCCCATGGCTGGCCAACTTTCTTTGCCTTATTATAAGCAGAAAAGGAGAACTGCCTCATCACATGTCTATGGTTGTGCCATCAACTTCACTATATTCACTATAACAACTACCTTTTGTTTGTTGAAGGTTAGTTCACCTTGGATTAAATTTTTCCATGTGTGGAGCAATATTACAGCTTACATGAAGTCAATCGTGAAAAGTCACCTAATTAGTAATTCTCTCCATAAATCTTGGCCCCATTAAGATAAAAAATAATAATGGTAACAAGGAAGTCTGTTCGCAGTCAGGTAGAAATCTGAGAAGACCAAAATTAGTTTTTAAACCACAGGCAAACAATATGTGGAAAAACAGCGTACATTGTACTTGACTTTAAATCAGGCATGCCAAAAGTCAGGGCCGCTGTTCTGCAGATTTATAAAGGTTTCCCTGCTTCACCACAGCTGATTTTCATTGATACCTGATTAACAGGCTTTTGCTGAACTGCAATAAGCTGTGATAAAACAGGGAAACTTGTAAAACCTGCAGGACAGGAGCCCTTGAGGGCCAACTTTGAGCATACCTGCAGGCTTAACTACACCACATGGTGGTGGAGGCAGCATCATACTACTGTAAAGAGCTACTTGGTAAGAAAGGCTGCAAAAGAATGTTAATTGTACTAAGGTTCATCTTAAAGTGGGACAACATCAAACATCGACAGCAGAATCAATAATTGCATATAGATTCAAGCTTATTTATGTGTTAGACCGCCCAGTAAAAGTTCAGACCTGAACTTAAATTATGAAAAAAATTTGTTTGTATCAAATTTAGGGGAGAGGCGGCTTAGTGGTTGGGGCACTGCGCTTAGAATCAAGAGGTTCTGAGTTGGGGCCCAACTGCCAAAGACTTACACTAAGGGTCCGTGAGCAAGATCCTTAACCCCATACTGCACCCTGGGCACCGCCCAATGGCAGCCCACTGCTCCGCAAGGGGAATGGTTAAATGCAGAGATTGAATTTCTTTACTCTGTACTTGTGACAGTGTAAAGCAATAAAAGTAAGCTACTTTGTATATTGTGGATATAGTCCAAAAGATTTGCAGCCCTAAAGGGACCAAACAGTTCAACAAGGTATTGCAAACCACACTATGCAGATTTTCAGCTTATATAAATGTCACATTTCTTTCAAGTGCTTTTTCACTTTACCATAACAGGCTCCTTCGTGTTGGTCAGACTCAGCAACCTTCTAACAAGTCTACCACGTTTTTTACTACACATAAAAAAATTAACTGAATAAAACAGAATATGAAATGAAAATAAAGAATTTATATTTAGCTAACCTTTATGCCACCTTTAAATTAATGTCTTTACACATTACTCACTTCTTTAACTTTTGATTTTTAACAAGAATTTACAGACAACAATGAAGAGGTTGCAAACTCATCACCTATAAATAACAAGGGATACAAAATTGAAGAATTTTGTCTGATATTCGATATGTTAGTCAGTATTTTACAGCTAAACTGGCCAATAATCCATACCAATATTTCTTTCCATAGATCAAATTAAAGATTTTATGCGTTTTTTTCTTCCTTTCCTTTGTCATTGTAATATCCACACCACAAATATTTGTACTTCAGCCTCTCTCCTGTGGCAGAGTCTTTTGTTACTCTAGTTGATCCTCTGATGTGGAGTAAATCTTCTCAATTTTGTCACAAAAAACAGTGCCTGATATCATATGAAGTCATATGAACGTCTTATGAGGTTAATATTGCCCGGTACCAATGACATGCCACATTGTGAAACTCTATAGATTGCGAATAATTTTTTTTTTATAGTTTTCATATGAAAACTCCTAAAGTATTCTAGGGGTGTATAGGAGAATATATATTTAATAGACCTTTTAAACAGAGAGTACAGTGTGAGAAGTAGTATTATATGTGACGTTAACACCCTCTCCCACTGTGCATGTGTCAGGCTGAGAATCGTCTGAGGATTGAGACGTACAAGTCTGTCTTCAAACTCTGCAAGGCACAAGAACAGGCCTGTAAAAATTTTTAAATGACAGCATGACGTCAGCCAGTACCCCAGAGAGTTGGTATTTGAGACAAAAAAAGGAATGGGAAGCTATCATGGTAAATTAACATGATTTCATAACTGTGCAAATGTGCCTGGTGTGGGAGTGTCTCAAGTGATTTAACTGGTGAGGTTAACTTTATTCTCACACTTTCATGGAAAGCCAAGTGATTGGGTGCATATCATATTCTGCTTGTCCTCACACCCACCCAGCACGTAGTTCAGATATTTGCCTCTATTACAATAAATTACACCTGGCTAAGAAAGAGACGCAATCACATAAAACCGCAGTGTTCCTTCCTGCCCTTTTCCCCATTTTGAAAAACATCTACCCAAGTGCTCTGTTTATATTCAACCAGGAAGCAGCGTGATTACGGCTGCGAAGGAGCTCAGGGAGCTAAAGGACTGTGTCAGTAGTGCGCCAGCAGGTTAATCAGCTACGAGC